GGCTGCAGCATTCCAAGTATAACTGGGATAACTGGAGGAAGAGAAGAACAATTTGTCACCCCCATACAAAAAAGATGTGGAGACTCTGGAAAGAGCACAGAAAAGAACAACAAAGATGATTAGGGGATTGGAGACTAAAACATACGAAAAATGGTTTTACAGGGTTTGGGTATGGCTAGTCCAGGGCTCTCCAAACTTGGAACTTTTAAGACTTGTGGACCAACTCCCAGCATGTGGGAGTTGACGTCCACAAGTCTTAAAGTTGCCAAGATTGGAGACACTTGGTCAAGTCAAATGAAAAGAAGGACTGGGCCGAACATGCTAGCAGTCTTCTAATACTTGAAGGGCTGTCACAAAGAAGAGAGAATCAAGCTATTCTCCAAAGCGCCTGAAGGCAGGACAAGAAGCAACGGATGGAAACTAATCAAGGAGAGAAGCAGCCTAGAACTAAGGAGAAACTTCCTGACAGTGAGAACAATTAACCAGTGGAACAACCTGCCTCCAGAATCGGTGAATGCTCCAACACTGGAAGTTTTTAAGAAGAGACTGGACAGCCATTTGTCTGAAATGGTGTAGGGTTTCCTGCCTGAGCAAGGGTTGGACTAGAACAGTGGTTCTAACCTGGGTGATATTGCCTCCCAGGGGGCAATTTCATTTTTCAGGGGGGCAATGGAACGAAAAGGGGGCGATATGGGGGCGATGGAGCAAGATGTTTTGGGGACACTTTTGAGATTTTTTCGTATGGTGAATCGCTGCATATCTGTCGTACAAAAAAATCAGATCGCTCGCTCTTAGTGGATTGAATGGTGTTTTCAAATGTTCCTCCAGCAAGCTTCAGTACAGAACGCCATACATATGTGAAGACGCATCGCTTATCTTCATGCGCGTTGTGCAGCAGCCTCTACCCATACAGTGGCGCGCCATTGGCCAGAATGGGCAGTGATGGAGGGGGGAGCGCTTCTTTCGAAACATCGCATGCCGAGTGGCTCTGTAAAACATTTTGTGTGTCTCTTTTTAGCGTGCACTCCAGTTCGATATTATATTTTCTTTGTGTCTTTTTAATCCTTTTTACAGTGTGCATGACTATATATACTTTCCTCGAATCTTAATTTAGTTTCAGAGTTTTCGTCTTGAAATTCTTAGTTGCTGCATTGCGGTTTGTTCTTATGCCCTTTTTATATTTCTTTTTGGGTCTTAAATTTCACTTGTAATTCAGTCATTAAATGTTACTGTTTTTCTTTTCGGGCATTTCACTTTCTTGCAATTGAATTTTGTTTTCAGTGGTCATCACATTTAAGTGTCTTGAATAAATAAGATAATAATGAAATACATGCATCACGAAGTTTGGGAATGAAGTGATGGATGGCAGCAAAATTTTTCACACAGTTGAGATATGGGAAAAAGACTGGAAATAAATTATTTGCATCGATATGTCCTGATGACAATTTTAAAGAAAACCAAAAAAGTGTTTGGATAAATTGAAGAATTATTTCCTACGTTGTGGTTGAGAGGTTATGTTGGGGGAGGGGGGCGATGACAACTTCCTCATTGGCTCAAGGGGGCGATTCGTTCAAAAAGGTTAAGAACCACTGGACTAGATGACCTCCAGGGTCCCTTCCAACTCTTGTTATTCTTTATGACAGTGTTTCCCAAACTTGACAATTTTAAGGCTGTGGAATTCTGGGAGTTGAAGTCCTCATGCCTTAAAATTGTCAAGTTTGGGAAACACTGCTTTATGAAATCATACTCTTGTATTCTGCTACAATGATCACGTGGGAAACAGAAGCCACTTTGCATATTCTACAGAGGCAGGCTTGTTCCCCATGATTTGTTTTGATGTGATGCAAGGAGTTGCGTAACCCCGGTCTCTGTTTGTGCAGCCTCATCTGACAGTTCCTCATGGCCTCTGGGAGAAATGAGAATGACATCATTTTATCATTTATTGATTTGCTTATATCCCATCTGTGCTAATTTTTTTTAATATAAACACATCAAGGCAGCAAATATACCTAATAGTCCTTCCTCCTCCTATTTTCCCCACAACGACAACCCTGTGAGGTGGGTTGGACAGAGGGACTGGGCCAAAGTCACCCAGCTGGCTTTCATGCCTAAGGCGGGACTAGAACTGACGGTCCCCTGGGGATTGGCCCAAAGTCACCCAGCTGGTTTTCATGCCTAAGGCGGGACTAGAACTCACCGTCTCCTGGGGATTGGCCCAAAGTCACCCAGCCATCTTTCATGCCTAAGGAGGGACTAGAACTCAACTTCTCCTGGTGATTGGCCCAAAGTTACCCTGCTGGTTTTCATGTCTAAGGCGGGACTAGAACTCACCGTCTCGCAGTGATTGGCCCAAAGTCACCCAGCTGCACTTTCATTTATTTAATTTATTTGCTGCCCACTTCACTATCCCAAGCAGGCTTCTATTTATTTATTTTTTTAAAAAAATATTGATTAGATTTACAGGTCGCTCCTCTCCATATCAAGCAGCTCGGGGTGGCTTACAATATGATATTATATATTAATGTAGATACATGCCAGGCATTACAAGGCGAGATAGAGAACGAATGTGGGTTAGAGAACGAACGAAAGGATATAACATCATCAAGAGAGTAAAATAATTGACATGGAAACACACTGGTCACATAGCAAGAACTAATGGCAGGTGGACCAAGGCAGTCATAGAATGGATCCCACTGGATCAAAAGCGTGCATGAAACAGATCTAAAGCTAGATGGATCAACAAGGATCGTGGGCCCAATTGGCAAAAAAAAGCTTTGGACCATGTGAAAGAGTCCTTCATCCTGCAGTGGTTGGACAATGGCTGGAATGGTGATGGTATTAATATAGTAATATAATATTATTACAATAATATTACTGGGCAAACTTACTCTGGCTTGAATGTCTGAGTGTTTAGTGTAGTGTTTCACAACCCTGGCAACTTTAAAACAGGTGGACTTTAAAACTCCCAGAATTCCCCAGCCAGCACAACTGGCTGGGGATTCTGGGAGCTGAAGTGCACCAGCCTTAAGAAATGCTGAGTGACTCTAGAGTGTGAAAAGGAACTTTGCACACCTGCTACGAAAAAGAGGAAGGCACATTTAAGAGTCCTTTTTTCCTTTTATTTTTTTCTTTCCTAAGTTTCAGGTGGAGGCCAACCCAGGTAGAAAGCTAACAAGCCCAGAATTCTTGGAAACAGGGCTTGCCCCACCTTTTGTGGAGCAGAAGAAATCCCTCCGGGCTACAGTTGCAGATTCACACTTTCCAGGGTGGAACAGACCAGGATATTGGCTGGTCCAATATCATTTTAAAAAGGCTCCAGACTTGAAGACAGACAGAACTTTCTTTCTTTCTTTCTTTCTTTCTTTCTTTCTTTCTTTCTTTCTTTCTTTCTTTCTTTCTTTCTTTCTTTCTTTTTCTTCTTCCTGGCTTCCTTCCTCTCTCCTGCCTGCATTTCTTTCCTTCCTTCCTCTTTCCCTCCTGCCTGTCTGCATTCCCTTCCTTCCTTCCTCCCTTTCTCCCTCCTGCCTTTCTGCATTCCTTTCCTTCTTTCCTTCCTTCCTTCCTTTCTCCCTCCTGCCTTTCTGAATTCCCTTTCTTCTTTCCTTCCTTTCTCCCTCCTGCCTTTCTGCATTCTTTCTTTCCTTCCTTCCTCTTCCTTCCTTCCTTCTTCTATCCTGTCTGCATTTCCTTCCTTCCTTCCTTCCTTCCTTCCTTCCTTCCTTCCTTCCTTCCTTCTTCTCTCCTGTCTGCATTTCCTTCCCCTTCCTTCCTTCCTCTCTCCCTCCTGCCTATCTGCATTTCCTTCCCTTCCTTCCTCCCTTCCTTCCTCCCTTTCTCCCTCCTGCCTTTTTGCATTCCCTTCCTTCCTTCCTTCCTTCCTTCCTTCTTCTCTCCTGTCTGCATTTCCTTTCTTTCTTCCTTCCTCCCTTTCTCCCTCCTGCCTTTCTGCATTCCCTTCCTTCTTTCCTTCCTTCCTTCTTCTCCTGTCTGCATTTCCTTCCTTCCTTCCTTTCTCCCTCTGCCTGTCTCCATTTCCTTCCTGTCTCCCTCCCTCTCTCCTTCCCTCCCTCCCTCTCTCTCTCTGCCTTCGCAGCGCCAGCCCGCCGCGGGTTCCTCTTTCACGGAGCCTTGACCGCTCCTCCGCCGCCCGCTGGTTTCCTGCCCCCGTCCTCTTCCCCTCCTTCCCTCCAGACCAGAGCCAAGCGGGCCGCCGGGACGCTGCCAGGCCTCGCGTGGAAACTCCGAGCGGCTCGCCAGGCATCGGGCGGGGGCGGAGGTAGGTCTCTGCGCGCCCGGGTTGGGGGCTGGCGCTTTCCGGGGGGAGGGCTGGAGCCGCCGCGGGGCCGGAGGAGCCCCTTTTCCGGCGGGATCTTCCGTGCACCGGGAGGGGCGCGGTGCAAACGGGCCTCCCCCCCCCATACACACACACACACACACACACACACAACCGTGAACCAACCGGGCAGGGGGGGGGGAAACGCTGCGGACCCAGACCCGGAGCGGCTGCTTTCTTCTCCCCCCCCCCACAGCCCACCTTAAGGGAAACGAAGCGCCCCGCCTTCCAAGCAGGGGTGACCTTAGCTGGACAACCCCCCCCCCAGTGAGTCCCCCTCCCCAAATCTTGGGAGCCCTGCAGCAGCTCCGACCCCCGCCTCTCTCTCTCTCTCTCTCTCTCGCCGCCCCCCCCCCGCGTCCTCCCCCCCTCCCCAAATAATAAACTCCGCTCTGTTCCAGCTGGAACTTGGGAGCGCTGCAAAGCTCTAGGCGCTCCGGAGCGCTTCGGGAAGCGGGGAGCCCCCTTCCTCGAAAGATGGAGGGAAGGGGAGGGGGCGGAGGAAGGAGGGAGGGAGGGAGGGAGGGAGGGGGTGAGGAAGGAGGGAGGGAGGGGATGGGGGAGGGGACGTCTGCCTCGCCCTCCCCCCTCCCACTTCGCTTCCCCTCCAAACGGAGCCCCGCCAATGCTAGGCAACAGAGGGGAGGAGTGGGGAGGGGAGGAGAGGAGAGGGGCGGGTCCTTCCCTTGCTAAAGCGGGAGCCGCGCAGACGGCAAGCTGCGCCCGAGCTGCAGAGCGAGGCAGGCGCTGCAGGAGCCAGCGGGGGCGGCCGAGGTGAAAGCCCAGCGTCCCCCCCCCCGCTACTTTCCCTTTCTGGCACCCGCCGCTGCTGCTGCTACGGGCAAAACGGGCCGGGGAAGCGGGGTCCACGTTCCCACCGATGCCGCCCCCGCCGCTGCCCGCCTGACTCCCCTCCGGGGCTCCAGCCGGACCCAGCCGGGGTGAAGCCCCTTCCCCCCCCTCCTCGGATTGGCCTCGGGGTCCCCGGACGACCCCACCCCCACCCCCAGCCCAGCGGGAAGAAGCCAGCGGGGGTCGTCGGAGCCCCCGCCTCCGCCCGGTGAGTGAGGGGCTGGTGGGGGGGTGGGTAGCCGCGGGAGGGGGGGATGAAAGGAGCGGACGTGCCCGCCGGTCTCTTCTTGGGACGGGGTGTGGGGGGGGGTCTGCAGACTTTCAAAGAGACCCCCCCCCCTTCTTTGCCTCTTCCATCCACGCACCCCTCCCCGCCAAGGTACTTTACCCCGTGTTTATTCATTACCCCGTGTTTAACACGCGCGCGCACACACACACACACACACACAGAGAGAGAGACAGAGAGAGAGAGAGAGAGAGAGACACGCACACACATCCTTCCAGTTGGGTTGTTTCCTTGCAGACGTTAGGTGGCCAAAACTAGGGGATTCAGCGCGCATCAGTCACCGAACGTCGTCGGAAAGCAAACAACTCAAGAGTACCCAAGACCCTAACCCCCCCCCCCCAATGTTCTCCTTTATCTGTATCTGGGGCTGGGCTTCTCCTCTCCACCCCTCCCTCCCTCCCTCCCTCCTCCTCCTCCTCCTGGGATCCTGGGAGGCAAGGAACTGGGAGGGGTACCCCACCACCCCGACCCCCGTTTTGGAAACGGGGCGATGCTGTGGCAGCCTTCCTGCCCACCCGCCCGCCCTCCACTTTTAACCTGCCCTTGATTTAGCACAACGAGAGCGACAGCCCCCCCCAACACACACACACACACACACACACACACACACACACACACACGGTTTTTTTCCTTCCTCGCCACGCGCTCACTTCTCAAATGCATTTTCCCCCCTTCTTTTTCTTCTTTTTCTTCCTCGCTTTCTCCCTCCACCCGGGCAGTGTGGAAAGGATCATGGAAACGCTCGCCATGTCACCTCGAGGTCTCTGGATCTCTGTCCTGGCGCCTTTGCTGTTTTCCAGCTGCGCAGGTAAGGCCTTTTGCGCTGGTTTGGCGAGTTTTGCTCGTGTCTCTGTGTATGTGTGTGTGTGTGTGTGTGTGTGTGTCTTTTGCGGTGAGCGCATTTACAGGATGGATTTATCTTATCTATTTTCTATCTGTCTAGATATCTGTCTGTCTGTCTATCTCTCCACCCATCCCTCCTGGAGACCTTTATGATTGACTGACTGATTGACTGATTGATTGATTGATTGATTGACTGTGGCCTGGGGTTTGACTCCGAGAAGAGCTCCTGCCCTCTTCTCTTCTCACCTTAAGGAAAAAAAAAAAATCAACCCAAAGAGATTTATTTATTTATGTATGTACGTATTTATATATTTATATTTATTCAACACAAAAGACATTTATTATTAATGGATAATAATTGGTGTTTTGACTCCTGGGCTGCTGCCCTCTTCTCTTCCTCTCCTTTAAGAAGAAAAAAAAAATATCAACCCAAAGATATTTATTTATTTATTTAACCCGGAGACCCTTATGATTGATTAATTGATTGATTGATCGATTTACTGTGGCCTGGTGTTTTGATTCCTGGGCTTCTGCTTTCTTCTCTTCCTCTCCCTTAAGAAAAAAAAAATCAACCCAAAGACATTTATTTACTTATTTATTTATTGACTTACTTACTTATTTACTTATCTATCTATCTATCTATCTATCTATCTATCTATCTATCTATCTATCTATCTATCTATCTGTTTATCTATCATCCTGTCCCATCTATCATCTCTTCCTCTCCATCTCTATATCATCTTCTATCTATCTATCTATCATCTATCTATTTATCTATCTATCTATCATCTATCTATCATCCTGTCCCATCTATCATCTCTCCCTCTCCATCTATCTATCTATCTATCTATCTATCTATCTATCTATCTATCTATCTATCTATCTGTTTATCTATCATCCTGTCCCATCTATCATCTCTTCCTCTCCATCTCTATATCCATCTTCTATCTATCTATCTATCTATCTATCTATCTATCTATCTATCTATCTATCTATCATCTATCTATCTCATCTATCTATCTATCTATCTATCATCTATCTATCTTATCTATCTTATCTATCTAACACGGAGACCTTTATGATTGATTAATTGATTGATTGATTGATTGATTTACTGTGGCCTGCCCTTTTCTCTCCCTGGCGCCTTAAGGAGAAAAAAAATGAATCAACTCGAAGACCAAAATCATCATAATAATAATCCTCCGTGTTGACTAGATCTATCTCTCTATATAAAATGCTGCCTTTAATTTCTGCCTTGGGAAGTTTTGCTGGGCTCCCCTGCAACCTTTGTGGGCTGGGAGCCAGGAGGAAAAAAGAAAATGTGGAGGGGGGGGTTCAAAGGGGTGGGAGAGGGTGCAACTGCCCTCTGCTGGGATGGAGGCCAAGCGCTTTACAGCTCCCCCCCCCCCCCGTCTTTTCGAGGCTCCTTCCAAGATTGTTCCCCCCCCCCCAGGCTTTCACGGTGCAAGTAAAAAAAAAAAAAAAAAACGGTTGCAAGAGGCGTTTTGGGGTGTGCGAAATAAAAGGAGGGGCGGCTTCTGAATGAAGAGGTGTATTGGGTCTGGGGGAGAGGCCTGTGGAGGGGTCTATTTGTGTGAGAAGAGGAGGAGAGAAGATATAAATCAGGGATGTTCAACCTTGCCCAATTTTAAGACTTGTGGACTTCAACTCCCAGAATTCCCCAGCCAGCTAGGCTGGCTGGGGAATTCTGGGAGTTGAAGTCCACAGGGCTTAAAGTAGGCAAGATAGGATAACTTTGTTTGCAGAAGGCGGTGCTAGGAAAAAGTAACAGCCTGGGGTAGCCTCTTTGCTAAGGAACACATTTTATAAGCTTCGTTATAAACCAGCGGTTCTCAACCTGTGGGTCGGGACCCCATTTGGTCGAACGACCATTTCATGGGGGTCGCCAAACAACGCAGTCCGCCATTTTTTTCCCCCTTTTCTTTAGCTGTGCTACTCCCTTTTATTCTATTGGCTTTTGAAAGCCAATAGAATAGATTCTCTTGAATAGAGTCTAATTCTATAGGCTTTCAAAAGCCAATAGGAATTGTCCAGGCTGTCTCTGCCCTGCTGAGCCCGCCAAAAGTCCCATTCTGCAAACGGTGTTGCACCAGTTGAGTAGTCCTTGACTTACGACCGGTTGAGTAGTCCTCGACTTACGACCGGTTGGGGGTCGCGGCATTAAAAAGGTTGAGAACCACTGTTATAAAACAATAAAGATTTACAAGTTAGTTATTGTCTTACAACCCAGAATGTATTGTTACTAAATGAGAAATCCCTTCGGGGAATTTTGTCCCATTTTACGACCTTCCTTTGCCTCATTACATTAAGGGAATCCCTGCAGTTGTTAAGTAAGTCACATGGCGGTTAAGTGAATCAGGCTCCCCCATTCACTTTGGTCGCAAAAGGGGGATCGCATCACACACACACACACACATGGGACGCTGCAAAAGTCATAGATACGAGACATTTGCCAAGGATCCGAGTTTAAATCACGTGATGCTGCAACGGCTGTAAGTGTGAAAAATGGTCCTAAGTCGCTTTTTTTCAGTGCCGTTGTAACTTCGAACAGTCACTGAATGAAATGTTGTAAGTCGAGGATGTGTGAAATAATAATAATAAATGAATAAGGAAATAAGAGGCTGGTGGAAATAGCTTCCAGTCTCTTACGGATTTTTTTTAGAATGGAATAGAATAGAATAGAATAGAATAGAATAGAATAGAATAGAATAGAATAGAATAGAATAGAATAGAATAGAATAGAATAATGAATGGAATAATAAATGAAATAGAACAGAACAGAACAGAACAGAATAGAATAGAATAGAATAGAATAGAATAGAATAGAATAGAATAGAATAGAAAAATAATAGAGTAGAAAATATGGGATAGGATAGGATAGGATAGGATAGGATAGGATAGCATAGCATAGCATAGCATAGCATAGCATAGCATAGCATAGCATAGGAATTATAGGATAGGATAGGATAGGATAGGATAGGATAGGATAGAAGTGGAATGGAATGGAGTAGAGTAGAGTAGAAAATATGGGATAGGATAGGATAGGATAGGAATTATGGAATAGGATAGCATAGCATAGGATAGCATAATATAGCATAGGAATGATAGGATAGGATAGGATAGAAATGGAATGGAGTATAGAGTAGAGTAGAGCAGAAAATATGGAATAGGATAGGATAGGAATAGGAGAAGAGAAGAGAAGAGAAGAGTTGAAAGGGACCTTGGAGGTCTTCTAGTCCAACCCCTTGCTCAGGCAGGAAACCCTTCCCCATTTCAGACAAATGGCTGTCCAGTCTCTTCTTAAAAACCCCCAGTGTTGGAGCTTTCACAACTTCTAGAGACAAGTTGTTTTCTATATCTTTCCTGCTCTGCTGGATGGGGCGGGGGAGTGGGGCATACAAGCAGTGACTCACACATTAGAAATAGTATTAGCACTGCCAGAATTAGTTGTCTTTAAAAAAAAAAAAAAAAGCAAGCAACACTCGTTTTTGTTGTCGGTTTGTGAAGATGTGGACAACGGCTTTGTAAAGTTGGGGGGCAGAGCTCACTCAGCCTGCCGGTTGTCTGTCCAAACAGAGCCCCCCCCCATGGAAAAGAAAAGGCTTTTGGTCTGTTTTAAAGGCCTGGTTATTTATATATATATATATATATATATATATATATATATATATATATATATATATATACATACATACACACAGTGGCCTTGCAAAAGACTCAAAACGGAGAAGAATCAAGAACGGTCCGCTGTCCCCTTTGTATTCTGCCCATTGTTGTTGAGAATTTGTGCCTCCGTGCCCCTCCAGGGGAATTTGGGGGGGGGGGGGAAATGGAAGGGACACTTTACATGCTATTGCTGTTGTGGTTCAGCTCTTGTTGTTTCGCATCTGGCATTAAATGCATAGAGAGCAGTGCTCAGGATGTATAGAAGGAAGGCATCAACATTTGATACAACTAGTCTCGACTTACAACAGGACATTTAGTGACCGTTCAAAGTTACAAGGGCACTGAAAAAAGGCACTTTAGGACCCTTTTCTCACACTGGTGGCTTTTCCCACGGTCCCGTGATCAAAATTCGGACGCTTGGCAACCGGTTCAGGCTTATGACGGTGACGTGATCAAAATTCAGACATTCGGCAACTGACTCACATTTATGATGGTTGCAGGGGGTCACATGATCTCCTTTTGCAACCTCCTGACAAGACAAGACAAGGGGGGCTGGGCCAAATTCACTTAACAAGTGTTCTTAACTTGTCATCTTCAGTGATTCCTTTAGCAACTCTGGCAAAACTCACTTAAGAAATGTCTCACTTAACAACAGAAAATTTTGGCTCCGTTGCGGTCGTTAAGTCGAGGACTATCTGTACAAGGATAATGGAGATGTGGGGCATATCTTCCCCTGAATGGGATTGTGGTGCTGCCCCAGGAGAGACAAACTCACACAGTGGCCGGCTGCCATCTGAGAGTTGATCCAGAAGGAATTAACAAATAAAGCCGTCATCTATTTTCAGCCACAGTTCAGCCCAACATTTCTGTGGCTAAGCAAGATAGTTATTAAGGCTTGAGTTTTGCCCCATTTTATGACCTGTGATGTTGATAAGACGCGACAACATACACATCTTATCTATTTAAATATATTCTATTTTAAATTTTCATAAGACGGTCGAAATTCCATTCTTCTTCAGTCTTATTCTAGTTTTTTTTTCTTTGCCAAGTCATCTTCCATGTCCTTATTTTTGGGTCTTCTAACCAACCTTCTTGTATTGTCATGTATGTTATTTGGCGTTGACAAACTTCTGGATGTTGATCATGTGATGCTGCGACGGTTCGTGGGAAACAGGCCCCTAAGTCATTTTTTTTCAGTGCTCTTGTAATCTTGAACGGTCACTAAATGAACTGTTGTAAAAAGAATAACCGGTAACAGACTTAAAGAGTTGGAAGGGA